ACACACACACACACACACACACACACACACACAATTAAAATGCCAAAAGCCTATTTCTTCATGAGAGCATACAACACAGCGAAAAAGGCCTTTGGTATATTCGAGTGTCTTCTCCTTCCCTTCGTTGGTTCCTTTTGCAATTCGCTTTACATGATTTCCACACCACTGCCTACGTGGGTGTTCAGTGATTGGGAAGCTAAACAGATGCCCTATTTGGGTGTAGAAGGCGACAGCAGGAGAAAATCTGGATGAACTATGGATGACTATGGTTTGCATATGGGTTTTGTAGGATCTAATATGCCGAAGAAAAAACGTGAATTTGGAACTTGGACCTGAAATGAGGACCTTGAATTTGGATCTAAAACTTGTATCTGAAAGTGTTAATGTGATGCGAGGACCAAAAATTTGGGCCTAAAACGCTGACTTAAATCTTGGACCCTAAATATGGACCTACAGCTTGGACCCTAAAAGGGGACCTACAACTTGGACCCTAAATGTGGACCTACAACTTGGACCCTAAATGTGGACTAACGTGAACTTAAAACGACCCTAAAATTTAGACCAAAATCCTGAGTATAACATAGTCTACAAACTGATAGACACGAAAAATATGAAAAGCAGAGTTTTTAATAAGAATATGATCTGTATGTGCAGGTGTTAACCGTTAAGAAATAATCAATATATATTTTTTTCCTTTCTTTTTTCGAAGCAAGAGCGAATGTTAACTAAACATTTACCGAAAAAAAATAGTATCAGCAATAATTACAGTTCGTTGATGACCGATATTCCAGAATAAAATCAAATAATGACGTATAAAATAAGATAAAGAATATTGACAAATAATCCACAACATAACGTAAAAAATAATAGAAGTTATTCACAACGAGAATGATCAGCCATAGGGCGCTCTATGAAAAAAAAAAAAAAAATGAATGTGGATTTGTCACTTTTGCAGCGACCTTGAACACACATTCATAAAACTACTAATTGGTGATTAGTAAGCAAATTAGGGAACAGGTGTTGAGATACGTGCTTGTTAGGGAGTTTCAAACGTAATGAGATGTCTTGTTTGAAGCTTAAACTATCATAATAAAATTTTTATCTCTGGTAATAATTCTATGGGTGTGATGAGAAGAACATGCAGTGGGAGTGTTTAATCAACTGAGATTTTAAAAAT